ATCTACCAATTAAAATTAAAACGGAAATTAGCAAAATTAATTCAACGGAACCGAATTTATTACTATAATCTAAACTATAATAATAATAACCGCTAATAATAACGTTTAAACTTTAAACCAAATCGCTATTAAATTCGCCGCCAATTTTAATAGCGCTTTTAACCGCAATAATCCTAACGGAAATCTCTAAAGATAGAAAATTATATAAACCGGTTTTTTCTACCCCAATACATTTAAATCTAAATATTAAAATTATAAGTACTATATTTATAAAGGGGATACTTATTACAAATCGGTCTATTTATTCTTCGAATCTATTATATTAAACGCTACAACCCCGGCCCGCATTGAATATTTACGCTTTAATTTCAACGAATTATTTTATAAAGTAGCTAAAATCTAATAGATAGCCCAATTAAATCCCTAATAACGAATAACTTATAAGGTCGACCTAGATATTTAAAAAGCCGTTTTAATCGCCCACTTTAAGCTAATAAGAAGCTAAATCCTAGCTAAATTCGACTCCATTAAATATTCGTACGAAGATTATATTACTAATAAGCCGATCCGCGTTACGGCTCTCCAAATCCTACGTTGGAGCCGCGAATTTAGAGACAACGACGCCCTCAATATCAACTCCCGCATTTAACTCGCCATTTACCCTGGCCTACGTTAATTAATTTGGGAACCGTCCTATAGTATAACGATTGATAACTTTATTAGGTACGTTGAGTAGAAAGCCGAAACCCATCGACTCAACCTAATTAATAGTCTCGGCGGCCACGACAAATAAGAAAGGTCGCTTTCTTTGCTTATTTTTAATATTAACGTATTAAATAGTCTAAAAGGAGATAATATATACGATAAAATTAGGGATAAATATTATATTATCTTCGTATATTATAATAATAACCCGTTTAAAAAAATAGAAAGAAATAATATTATTTAATAAATTATTAAGTATAGTAATAACCCTAAATATACTTTTCCGGTTAAAATGTACGCTTTAACCGAATATTTATATTGGGTTAGAATAGGAGACGTAAATAATCCTCCTACCGATATTTTATTTATACCCGTCCTTATACGTTAAATTATATTATTATTAAAAATAAATGAAAAAAAGAATATAAAATTAGTAGCCGAATAAAAATATAGGCAATTTTAATACGTTTTCGACTACGATATTTATAAAAGAATTAAAAAATATATTAAGGATTAGAATAATAATTATAATATTAATTAAATCGAGTATAGTACTAATATTATTCGTTATATACGTCGTTTTATTAATATATTTAATTTACTATTTACTATCGAAATAAATTAAAAGAAATTCGATAAGCTATTTATATTATTTATTATATATTTTAAGGAAACCTGGTTTAATTTACCGTATTATATTAATATAAGTAACGAAAGGCGGAAATTTAATAATATAGATATAATATAGGAATAAAAGGGCAAAGCCTTTAATAATATTTATATTATATTAAAGAGTTATTAATTTAATAAAATAAAGGTTAAGGAAGTAGCGAGACGGCGGGCAAATTCTCTTATATTACTATTATAGGTATTATTTCTAATTTTTATACCGGCGTTATTTCCTCTTCGGTTTTTATTATAAATATTATTTCTAACTTTTATATTACCGTTGCCCCAATTTCCTTTATAAGTATTAAATAAATCGAAATCGCTAATATTATTTCTATTACAAATATTATCTCTAATTCCTATACCGCCGTCCAAATCTCCCGTACTATTACCGCTACGGTTTATATTATAAGTACGGTCTTTAATTTTTATACCGCCCCTTTATTAATTTATAAAGTTATTACCGGTTAAAGAAATATTTACGGGTAATTTATCTTTATTATTACCCCCTTTTTTATTTTTACCTATAAAATCCCCGCTACGTTCTCTATTATTACCGTTATTTTCTATTATAAAACTATTTATACTATAAATTTCCCTTAGTATTTTATAGATAGAAAAATTTTTACCGATAAAGTAATTTGAATATTATTCGCCGAATCCGTTTAAGAAACCGCCCTTACTATTACTTTTTAGCGATAAAAGTAGTTTTAAAATACTTACTATTAGTAAGAAGTTTAAAAAATAATTATTATTTATTATAAATATTACGGCGTTACGAATATAGAATATTAATTAAATTATTAATATATTTATATCGACCCCTTTATAACGTATTAATTCTATTTATAATATTAGAAGTATAGTATTTAAATAAGTCTCGGCTATTTTAAACCCCAACCGAATCGGTATATAATCTTAAATTCGAATTATTATTACTACTATTACTACTTTAAACGGCGGTATACTATTTAGTATACCGTTTGGCACTATTAATAACTATCCTATTAATAATATATTTATTAATTATATTAGAAGCGGCCAGGATATTATTAAATATAATAAGAAGAAAGGCCGCGGCGGTCTCCCTTTCGATAATTATTATCTCTTATATAATAATTTGGACAATTTACTTACTAATAAATTTATTAACCCTATAGAAGTCTATTAATACCGTATTACTATTTATTAAACTAATTACTTTTAAAATTCTTATTTAATTATAAATGTTTTATATTATAATTATTAGATTATTATCTATATTATCCCTATTTATTATATTTAGCGATAATACTAGGTTATTATCTATTAAATTTTATAGAAAATAATAAATTATCCAAATTATTTATCTTATATCTATAATATTATACTACTTTATATTTCCTTTATTTACGTTATTAAGAACGGTAGTATTTTAATTTTTAAGGTTATATTAATAATAAATTTAATTCGATATACAATATAACTATTTAGTAGACTTAATACTAGAATTATAGCGATTAATATAATTAATTCTAAACGTACTAATATACTTACTATAAACGATTATTTTAACGGTCTAATTTAACGTTTAGGTTATGCGTTATAATATAGCCTTTAAAGCGACCGCTAAAATTATTTATATTAGCGGTTATATTCAGGGGCTCGTCGAAATAGCCCGTATATTCAATAAATGTACGCTATAAGTAATTATTATAATCTAGACTTCCAGTATATAATTATAGCGCTCAATCTAATATGAAATTTAGACCAATCAGAAGTCTTCCTCAGCTAATAAGGCTTATCATTTCAACAGTGCTTAGTCTAATATTAAGGCTTATCAATTTGACAAGGCTTAAAACCTATATTACTATTTATACTCCTAGGGATTTTCTCGCTATAGTATAATTGATTATATTCGTAACTATATAGAATAGTTAGATTTACCGCTAAAACAGGGAAATTTATATGACAGCTGTTACTTTGAAAAAACTAAGTGTGTGGAGGTTTTCTGGGTGTGTGTAGGTTTTGGGTGGGTGTATGTAGGTTTCCTCAAAAAGATACGGCCGTTAGATGACGCGAACTGGTTGTGCAAGCCTAAACCCACTCGTCGAGGATAAAACTAAAACACTACAGATGCTTTCTCTTATGCGCGACCCATCAATAGACACAAATTATCTCCGGAACACCTTTGACAACGGTGTTGGGAACTCATCCTCGGCTCCAGCTGCTGGCACAGTCATCCACACCCAACGTTACAATCGATGGCACTGGAGGTGCGGGTTTGACACGGCTTGAGGGCGGAAACCCCTAGAGCCCTGTCGTCACAAGAACCGTTTCTGGTAGCGGTAGTCTTACCCTTGTTGGCGGAAAGACACAGCACCTAAAGTGACTGATCAGAGCATGAGCGGTTCACTCGGTGGAAGACCGGTCTCTGGTTGCCATCGGTCGGATCTGGTTCAGTTAGGCGGAACCTCCCAAATCTCAGCGCCAAGTACACTCATTCCCAGGGTCCAGTGTGCCCCTCGGGCATATTCCTCACCTGCAAACGTACATCAACTTCCTACTGTGGCTCCCAGGACTCCTGAGCTGGAAGATTCCCAACCTTTTGTGAGGCCAAATCACACCACTAAACGCGGGGCTTATCGTTGATGGGGAGACGGTGTTGAGGTGGATGTCTGACTCTGCTAGGGCAATACGGACATCGAAGTAGACTGTGCCAGCTTGAGCACCAAAGAATAAGACGATCATACGTTGTGTAGTGATGGATCAAAATACAGCCAAACAGAACGTATTGGCTGGTCTGTGAGTTTAAACAGGCATGAGTCCATCCGTCCATGCATGCAAGAATGGCGCAAGGGCTGGGAACTATAAAGACAACCATATCGAAGAAGCACGGCGCCAACATTTGATGATGATAAGGGGTAATGAGTCAAAAGCAATTGGGGTAATAGTAATGAAGAGAACGATGCATTAGGTCGGCTTGCGACATACTGGAAAAATCCAATTGTAAAAACAGAACGTGTAGTGGAAGGTTGATCGCCTTTCCCATGCGACGGAAGTTGGGAGTAGAAGACAAACAATTAGGGGAATTCTCCTCACACCCACCCCCAAATCTCGTAGCACCTTCCCTACCCCATCTGACAGCTGATATTAAAATTTCCTGGTTTTGTATGGTAAAATGCCGTTTTCTTATGTTATCCAATATCCTTACCAATCTAACAAGCCGGCCGAGACCGCTAGAGTTGTAATAATTTCATAGTGTTGAATATAAGTAAAATAACGCAGAGATCTCAATACAAATTGGCAATTTTCAAAACTCTACGAAGACCTAATTTTTTCATGAAATGTAACGTACATCGAAAGTACGGGGTTCTAGCGGGTAAAACAAGGTCTTTCAATGCAGCTAATACCGGCCAGTCAACGTTATTAAGGTTGGGGTTTTGTATGGGACTGGGCCATAGGGAGGGTGCAGCAAGATTTGGGGGTGGGTGTGAGGAGAATAGCTCAACAATTAATATATCTCTCTACGTTATCAAAAGGCATACATAATTAGTGGAATCAAGAGTGAAAATTAGCCTTTGACAATTCTAATGCAGTGCAAAAAGCAGGAATTAAAAGGGGCAAAAAAGTTCAAAAAAATTGGGCGACCCGTGACGGATTCGAACCGTCGTCTTCCTGCGGCACGTATGCAGACGAGCATCTAAGTCTCGCCGAGAATGTTCCCAGTTACACCAACGGGCCATTAGAGGTTGTTGAAGGCTGACTAGTTAAGCCAGGTTATGTACCCCGTAAGGTGGTTGAAACTTAGGATAGTAGGAAGGTGCTGGGACGCAAAGGTGCATAGGATTTGATGGTAGGCGCCCAGCGGCAGGCAATGGTGCTACTCTGAGGGCCGTGAATGCAGTTAGAGCGACATGCAACTTCCACTTCTTGTTCTGCATGTGGATGATATACCAACAGATAGCTTGCACGTGTAGTAGGCAGGCGCGGCCTAGCCACCAAAGACTAATAAAGACTTCCGTGTTACTACTTCTACTTGCCCAGTACCACAAACATTTATAAGTTTCCTAGTTGTTGCCGTAATGCATGGTGCACATTCAATTCGCCTTCTGTTATACCAATTTGTTGGTGGGTCTGGCATTCACTGGGTTGCACACTGACCAGCACATTCACTGTGCCTGGTCTGTGCCGTGCCGTGCCCTGACCGCACCAGACTTTTAGACCTCCAGACCTTCCGCCCTTCTCTCTTCTTCTCCCTCCAGATACATCACCAATCTATTGATTTGATCAGCTTGTTGTTGTGCGTAACCTTACACAATTTGAGTCCACTGAGTCTTCGTTGCTCTGCATCCCAGCCTGGCCTCCAGTTACACTCAGCTCGAATTATCCCCGCGAAAGTGAAACTTTCTCTTCTTCATCTCTCTCTCCCACACTTCCGGGGCGCATCTTGATGTGTGTCTCCTTGTTCTTTATGCCATTGCGTATAACTCTGCCTATGTAATGCATAGGTGCTTAACAATCTTCCATATACCAACTGCCTAAGGCCAACAGAAACAAATCGTCCAAAATCCAAACCAAAACTTTATCCCAAACTTCACAATTATTACCGCCGAGCAGATTGATGTCCATAACCCTAGCAATATGCAATATGCAATAAGTTGCAATTATCCGTATCAACTGGGCAGTAAACGTGTTGATCGCTACCGTGGCTGCCGTAGCATTGTAAGTGGAAGATACCATAAGTGTGCGGAGACCGAATAGGTTGTTGGAGAACTATTGTGCGGTTAAAGAATGATAGGTTCCCCACGCTAAATCCTCGTTATATATCAGTTTGTTCCCTCATGTGTTGGAGTCAAACCCATCATCGCCGAGTTCGCAACTCTGCGTCACCTCCCGCAGAAGTTGAATTCCATTCTCGAACACCTTCACCATATTGCTCCTTGCTCATGTCACGATCACTTCACTACTTCTCTAACACCGGGAATGATGCAGATGCAGGCTGTAAACATCTTACATAAAGAAAAACAAAGGCGACTCCCAAACCCGAGAGCAAACACCGACGTTATGCTATGGCCTAAAACTGTTCGTACTCCCATGCTCAAATACATGTTCTTCACCAATCCTATTGCTTTTACAGGCCGTCAAGTACATCAAACATGAACCATTTTCCTTTAATCTATCAAGGGCCAACATGAAACCAGTCCACAGGCACTTCGGGCATCTCGTCGGGTCCAAACATCTCACGACTCCTTACAGCCTCTCCAACTTCCTCGTGTAGCGAGAGGAGGATTCTATCCCTTTCGCGCAGAGGAAGATTACGCTGATCGAACTCGAGTTTCTCTGCGCGAGTGATCTCGCTATGTCTGCCAGCCGCATCATCCGCCAAATCAGGCCCGATCGCGCACCTACGCGGGTTCCACCGAATTTTCAGATCAGCGCCCAAACCGATCAACCGATATGCCATCCAAACAATTGCCCGCATCACCGGCGAAATATGCCTGACGGAGAGACGCCAGGGTTTGTGGTTGAGGCCGTGCTTGATGCGGCTCCAAACCTCGTGAGAGTCCGTAAAAATTTGAATCATTGCTGACTCCGGCCGGTAGTACTCCATGAGCTTTAGAGCAACGAGGACAGACTGCGCCACGGCACCAGCTTCCGCCTCCGAGGAGGAGTACATCTTGCTGTAAGACCATGACTTGACAGCAAAGCGGGACCTCCACACAAAGCCAGACAGCACAGGAGAACAGGCAGAGCCTTGAGTCCGACCACTGTGACCCGGGACAGCGAGGTTGTTGTCGTTGCTGGCCCACGGATTGCGCAGAACCACACCATATCCGCCGGTAGTGCCGTTGATCTCTCTACCGTCCGTGCCGCTGACAGACCCATCACAAAAGATTATAATCTGAGGAACTCCGTTCGCCCAGAGAGACGAATAGCACGCCCTGTGTGCTATGATTGCGGCTTCCGCCGGGGGTTCGAGGATGCACTCGCCGGGAAACGGGCGTCTTTCCTCTCTCCAGAGGGCAATGCGGCGGTCGGGCAGGGGTGTAGGCGAGCGAGGGGATCTCGCGCGGGCCGAGTTCGCGTTTGGCTGGGGAGGGTGTTGCGGAGGTCCCGCTTCCTCCTCGTCGTCGGTGTCGCTTGTGAGGTCGATGATGACGGGGGCGACGGGAGGGGCTGGGGCCCTCTCCTCCTCGTCATCGCTATCCCCTGTCAGGTCAATGACCGGACCGAGGATGACGAGGACCTCGGGTGAGGCCACGGGGGATACCGCAGGAGAGACAACGGGGGAAGCAGGCGAGGCAGCAGGCAAAGGTTGAGAAGCTTGCCCCTCTGCTTCAGCCGAGGGCAGGGCTTGCATAGCTTGAGCAGCCACGGCAACGGGGACAGGAACAGGCGAACCTGGGCCAAGCAAGAGGGGCATTTCACCCACGGCCGGAGGAGATCCGACCTCGGCAGCCTCACCTCCGTCGACAACAGGCGACAGCGCAGACTTGCCGAAACTATCTTCCTCGTTCGCCTCGTTCAAAAACCGCGGCAAACCGGCAGCAGGCTGGCGCAAAGCAGGAGGAGCAGCTTCAACATTGGCTTTGTCATGGCCATGGTTCTCGACATCGACAAAAAGGCTGCCCGCATCCTCCTGAACGTTTCCCAACGCACTCTCGATCTCTTCTTCCTCCTCACGATTATCGAACCTCGGCTTTTTGTTCTCTTGTCCGCCGGATGCGGGAGAGAGACTGCGGCTAGGCCGGCCACGCTTCAACTCGTTCGAAGACATCGCTGCTGAAATAAAACATGATTAGCTTGGCTCCTAAGTAATAGCACTGCTGCTGATGACATCATGACAGCCACAAAGCAGTGCAGCACGACACAAACAACCCAGGGTCAAAACCTGGGATCCGTTGCCGTGAAAGACCTCTTTTATCCTTCAAAGTTCTCTTATACAACAAAGGGCCTTCTTTCCCAGACCGAAACTATATCTGCTGTGAACGCAAGAACTCAAAAAAAATCACAGAAAACGCTGAGAAACCCGGCAACCAGAAGACTGGCAAGGAAGGGTTTAAGGGCCTGCCGGTTGCATCAACAGCTATGTGTTCACAGCCCAAATGCAAGTAGCAGACGTCCAATCGTACGTTGCCGGAACCCAAGCGGAAGCTGGCTTTTCTGAAGTTCGTAAGATTGATCGGCTTTTTTGAGAGACGGCACTCGCACGAATTGCAATCAAACTCCAGTCTTGAAGCAAACCAGAAGGACCGGTGGCTTCCAGATCTGAACGAACAAAAACAGTGCCCCGTAGGTGTGAAGAAAAAGAAACGATGGAGCTAAATGTCAAAGAATCCTGGAGTGACCCGGAATCTATACTTACCGAGAGAAAAACAATTTGAGAAGCAAGGGAGCCAAGCTCCAAAATTGCTGGAGGGGAAAAAGACCGAGGCAACACAGAAAGAAAAAAAGGCGTAGCACAAGGTATGTGCGTGTGGTCGATCTTTTCTTTTCCAAGAAGGAAAGACAACGAAGAAGAAAAAAAAAGAATGGCGAGGCTTTGCGAGTGAGAACAAGGGCTGGATATTGATCGTCGACTGAAGAAAAAAAAGAGAGGAGAGAAGAAAAGAAGAGCAGGAAGGAAGCGAACGAAAACAAAACAACTAGACGCGTACGCGTTGCCCCGCGCATCACTCAACACTTTCAGCACGCTCGCGGCAGAAAGTGGGGAGAAAGATAAGGGATACGGCAGGCAATTTTGCTGGAAGCTTATCTCGGAGGAGAAAGTTGGGATGAAAACTTTGGCCCGTTAATATTGACGCGGACGCGATCTTCTGGGATGTCGATTCGCGAGTTAGGGCCAGAGAAGATCCTCCTCGCCGTTAGGATAAAACGACAACACATTCACGGCAAAAAGAGGAGATTATCCTTGAAGTGGATGAGCACGAATATCTCGCGGCTACCGCATTGCATAATTTCTAGACCAAGAACATACTTGGCACCATAGTGGAATCACAACAATCTTCAAGGCTCCATCACTAACCTTAGCTCCCCATCCCGGCTTGTGCAGAGCCCTTCTCTCCACGTCTGGCATTTATATGCGTTTCTCGCCGGTCTCAAATCTCGATCATGCACTCCAATCCCGCCATCTTCAAGCTCTTGATCCAGTCCTTGCATGCTTTGCTGACATCGAAACCTTCTGATTTCCATGGCGTAATAGATGCCTTGAACGCTCACGGGGCTGATGATCATGATCGTATCAATTTCACCCGAAGCTAAAACATACGCGTCGTTGATTGTGGCGCTTTTCCGGTATCAACGTTCAGGTTTGACTTCCATCGAAGTACGCGGTCTCTTACGCTTTGGCTGGTCAGCTCTGCATTCCCAGTGTATTGGCGTTAGTGCCATGATTCGTGGCGAGGAGAATGGAAGCACCGACCGTGGTGCCTGGTAGAATCCAGCCTGTGCCTGATGCGTTGCTAAATCGAGATTGGGCTTACTGACCTTATAAGGACATTGGACATGGAAAGTTGTTGGAAGATGGATGCCTCTGCCATGCATCATTCACGTTATAAGTGCAGGAATTGAGTGATAATCACGAGCATAACAAGTCGGTTTTTGAGGGGTTTCCTTCCTTTGGACGCCAAGCAATATCCAAACGAATACCCAAATGTCTCGCGCAGACCGCTTGATGGGAAAGGAATAAGACATATTGTCAGCGGTGCGGATTTCCTCGGAGAACATCTAGACTACGACTT